AGAGCCTACCAAAAATTTTGTATCACAAAACTAAACACAGACTGGGAATGCTACAAAAGATGTAGAAATGAAGTTGTATCCACGATGAGGAAGAACAAAACACGATATTATGAACAACATATTGATAACTGTAAAGGCGACAGCAAAAGGATGTGGAGAGCTCTGAAGGACTTAGTTGGGACAGGGAAACAATCTACTGATTTCACAGATATAAATTTTGACCATTATAATAGCTCTGTGGAAGAAAACTTCAATAATTTCTTTTCAGACTCTTTGCATGAAATTTCAGAGAGTATAGAGTATAAAGAGTGGGAAGACGTAAATTTTAATGTGAAGACAAACTTTTCAAATTTTCAGATCATAAATTTATCTCAATTAAAAAAAGCTATTTTTAGCTTGAAAAATAAAGGGTCGAGCGATGATAGTTTGAATATTAAACTGATAAAACAATTATTCTGTGTAATTGGATATCCTCTTTTGTACTTGATTAATGCCTCAATCACCACCGGAAAAATACCACATGACCTGAAAACAAGTGTAATAACACCTATCCCAAAAGTGAATAAACCAAAGGTTCCTTCAGAATTTAGGCCTATAAATCTTTTACCAGCTGTAGATAAGATAATCGAAACCATCGTCTGCAATCAACTGAGGGAGTACTTCGAGAAAAATCACTTGTTATTCACGGGTCAGTCTGGATTTAGAAGTCAACATTCCTGTGAGTCAGCGATTCAGTATGTATGTGCAAATTGGCGAGAAAAAATAAACAATGGTGAATTAGTGATTGCTGTTTTTGTGGATCTTCAGCGTGCTTTCGAGACAATTGATCGACAAATTCTTCTTAAAAAACTGGAATATTATGGTGTGGATAAATGTGCTTTAAGTTGGATTGATAACTATTTAAAAGACAGGTTTCATAAAACAAAAATAGCTAATAGGGTATCTCAAAAAAAGGAAAGTGTGCTGGGTGTACCCCAGGGAAGTGTCTTGGGACTACTTTTATTTATTATATATATTAATGATCTCCATAGGGCTTTGAAAAACTGTTTTGTTAATTTATTTGCTGACGATACCCTCATATCAGTGTTTGGAAAGAATTACCTAGAAGTTGTAAATATATTAAATAGTGAGCTAACTGTATTGTATGAGTGGTTATGTCAAAGTAAATTAAAATTGAACTCCTCAAAAACAAAATGTATGGTGGTGGGCTCAGCTGTAAATTATAAAAAAAATTCATAATTTAGGTTTATCTTTGTCCATAAATGATGTAACCATAGAGTTTGTAAACGAAATTAAATATTTGGGTGTCATTTTGGATCCGCAGTTGAATTTTTCAATTCATGTTGATTATGTTTGTAAAAAATTAGGTAAAAAAATAGGTTTTTTCAGTAGAATATCTTATTGTGTTTCTGAATGGGCAAAAATGTTGATTTACAAGGATATAATTCTACCTCACTTTGCATATTGCAGCTCAGTACTAATTTCTTGTAACAAAGAAGAGGTGCGAAAATTGCAACTACAGCAGAACAAAATTATGCGTATTTTATTAAACTGTAGTAAGTATACACCAATAGAATACATGTTGGAAACTCTAAATTGGTTAAATGTTGAGCAGAACATTAGAAAGGCGAACCTTGTTCTAGTTTATAAAATTGAACATAGCCTAATGCCGGAGTATTTGAATACCTACTTAAAAAAACGATTTCAATTTCATAATCACAATATAAGATCCAAACAAAACTACAATCTTGGCATCGTGCGAACTTCAGCATTGCAAAAAACACTGTTTTATGAAGGGCTTCGCTTTTTTAATGAAATGCCTGATGCTGTGAAAGATTCACCAAATGTATATATCTTTAATAGGAGACTGTTTACGTATTTGCGCAATCAATGTTAATTTTTCTTTTGATGTAATTTTTGGATTCAGTTATAAGTAGCCAAGTGCTAAATAAAAATATTTTTCATTTCATTTCATTTTACAGACTATTTTAACTGTGTCAGAATAGGACAGTTCTTCTGTTTGCCTGCTCCTGAAACACAATGCAAAATTTCTCTCTGTTCGCGCATGCGCCAAAAAATTAACATTGAAGTCTCCATTTATAAAGGTGCATCCAGACCGGTGCAAAAAACAGTGTTTGTTACACCGGTCTGATGCACCTTTAGAATATAATCGAGAATATCATGTTTTGAAGATCTTTTTTTTTACAATTTGTTCGAAAATACTCAAGAAGATCTCGAAACCCCCACTGTATTCTGTATTATGTTATTACAATAAGTTTAAGTTTAGTTGATTTGACTGCACATACCATACCTTCCAATGCATTTCCTGCTATAGATTGTTTATATCATCTCTGCCTTTAAAAGTGTGTGCCAAGGATTGTTTAACAGCAATCCCTACCCCTCCATGAGAATACTCTTTTCGACATTAGTATGAAACAACATTATAATTGATAATTTTCATTACTTTAGCTTCATGATCAAGTAAACAGTGTTCACTAAAACAAAAAATATCAGCATTTAAATTTAAAGATCCAAAATAAACCAATTTATTCCTTATGCATTGTACATTTAGGTGTACAATAACTGAGGAATCCAAAAGTGAAACATTATTAGGAATATCGATTTTATTTAAACCTAGGCTAAAAAATCACTGGCACAAGAGTCCATGAAAATCATAAGTTTCTTGAAATCAAATCTTTTGACTCCCACAAATCTTGGCCAGAAGTCTGGATCATACATAATGTTTTTCTGCTGCAGAGGTCCTGTGACAACAAAACATTTGAGCTTGTTTTCCTCTGATGGTAGTTCCTTTGCTGTGATTGGTAGACATTCGATTTATTTTCAAGTGGGGTGATATATGTTATAAATATTTATGTCAGTTCCTTGAAGAGGGTGTGACCCAAAAATGAAAATTTTAGTGCAAAAAAATTTAAAAATAAATATTTCAACCGAATCTTGCTATGCTGAACCGTTTTTGAGTTAGGGCGGTTTAAAATCACAAACGCCTAGGCTGTGATCTCACACCGGCTTTGGAAGCACAGTACTAACACGTGTAAGAATTTTTCGAAACAAAAGTCAACAATCTCACTAGAGTGAATTGCTACCACTAGTATAGGGTATGGTTCACTGACAACTGAACAAACACAAGGCTGCTACTTTGGCGGTTAGCCGGTGTGACGTCGCAAGTTTCCGCATAATTTATCTTGAAAAGGGATATTCTCAAATACTATTCTGAATATAGGACTGCGGTTTTCACAAGAGTTCTTAAGTAGCTTAAGTTGTTTCTTTGGGTCAACTGTGATAATCTGTGTAAGTGAATGAACCGAATGGGATTTAAATTAAATAATCATATTTAGTGTTGTAACAAGCGAACTTTACCGAGCGAACGTTCGCATTATTACCGTAATTTACGGTAATGTTCGCTCCTCTCTAAGCGAAAGTTCGCTGAAAATGCATTTCTAAACGTTACCTAATCGCTTGATTTGATAACAGTGAATCATGGACATGGACCCTGGGCTGGAACTCTGTAACGGATAGCGATCAATATCTCTATCTCTAGTGGCGTCCCCTCTCTATTGATTTCGATAAGAGAAAAGAAGACAGCAAGTGCCATAGCGATAGGGATAATGATCTCTATCCGTTACAGAGTTCCAGCCCTGATTTCTGAATATTTTTATTATTATTTTTTTATTTTATAACTACTTGTGTTATTACTTCAGAAAGTTGTTTTTTAAATTCCTTTTTCTAGAGTTCCTATTTTTATTTTTAAATTTATTTTTTTATATTATTTTTTGTTTTGACTTAACACTTTATGTAGTTATGTTATGTAGGTATTTGCATTTAAAGATTTTTCAGTTTTATTTTTTGGTGCTACCACTACTACCTATATCTACGTTGTTTTTTAGTTTGTTTTTCATTACACCAACTTACAAGAAACAAGACTTGTATTAGTTTTATAAATATTATCATTTTCTTTACAATAAATTGATAATACATAGACAAGGGTTATATCTACATTTATGGAAAATTCACCTACCCCTACCAGAGAAAAGAAAAATAGGGAAATTTAGTGAAACCTTATTATTAATACACATTTTTACAAGCCCTACATCAAAAAGCCGAAGTTATAGGTGCTTTTGCAACATTCTCCAAAGTTCTCATAAATTCTCGAAAATTCTCAAACATTCCCGAAAGTTCGGTAACGTTCGAAAATTACCGAGAATTTTACAACACTAATCATATTTTTACATCCCAGAATTGGAAATAAAATAAACAATAATTGCATACATTAAGTTGTAAGAATATGGACTATTGTTAGCAAGAAAAAATTGTTCCAAGCAATTGTAAATATACAATAATAAATATTTTCTTACACTGACCTACCTCCTGACAACGACTAGGTGAAAGGAAATACCTCGGGAAATACTGACTTTGTTTCAAAAAGATTAGGTAACAAAAATGTCCCTATTTTGTATCTATTTCCAGAAAAGAATTATCAACACATCTCAAAAACATTATTTGCATGAAAAAATGTTCTAAGGATATTTAATCAATTTGTTTTTCACTATTATGGATTTTTTTGTCGTGGTTTTTTGGTCTAGATTTTTTTTTTTTTTTTATAATTGGTTAAATGTAACCTAGAACAACATCACTTTCAGGCAGTTTTTCAGCTATGGGTTAAGCTGTCAAATATTACTTAAATGTAGTGACTCGATAAACTTTGAACTAATTTTGTGTATACATTCATTCATACTTCCCTAGATTGAACAAAACAAAATAGTCAAGAGATTCACATTAAGCAGCTACAAAACACAATACACGATTTATTGTTATTTGATTTTTCCGTGTCTAGCATTGTTAATTCTATTGTCAATTATTTATCTTCTAGTTCCAGTGCATAAATGTAATTTATAATATTATGTAAATTTCCATTAAGAAATGAAATAGATTAAATTAAATTTACTAGTTGACAATATGTTAAACCTGCATTGTCCTTTCAGGATATTTCTATAAGAGGGGAACAACAATCTTGCCCTGGGCCCGTAAAAATGCCAAGAAACCATAGTGGCAATAAAAAACCAACACCGCTGTGCTTCAACAATAATGGTAAGTTTGGTGAGAGTTTCTGCCTGTGTTCAAAAAGTGATGAAAATATGGAGGATGGTTAATATATCTGTCAAATGTGTACCTATTAATTAATAATTATTGTTGATAGCTTCACAAGTTACAGTTGGTACTACTTGTCAATTACAGGATTAATAATTTTCAATATCGTTTCACTCAAAAGGCTTTTGTTGAGGTTGTGCATTTTCTTTTTCCATTGCAATTATAAACTAATTGAATGCGTAGATTCTGACTGGTCTGAATTTAAGGAAAAAGACGCTTACATAATATTATAATAATAGACTCAAGGCCTTCAATCTTTTTTCGAATACCTCAAACCTCTATTGTTTTTGGATTAGGTTAAGTGGAAGTATGTACCCTTAAATTAAAATAATCTTTTATGAGGTAAAGCTTTAGGTATTCTTGTACTGGATCCTTGGGGACTTTGTTAAATTGTTTACAAAAACAAAAATAATTAAATAAAAATAGCACCTGGCAAAAATAACAGAAAACCACATCTTCTATACTTCTCCAGGCTGTAATAAGAAGCTGATAACCATCTTCCAGAACCGCAGGTATGGCAACTGGCAACCGTCTGTATTTGGTGTTATAGATCTTGAGGCCCTCATATATGATGTAACTTTTTTTCATTATGTATAACTACTACAAATAGTAACTTTTTTTCATTATGTATAACTACTACAAGTACTTATATCTTTTACTTTTCGAACCATCCTTATATTATCTATCAGAATTTCATGCATAATTATTATTTTTTTTTTCATAATTTTTTTTTTTTGTGACATTCTAGTAATGCTCAGTCCCATTTACAATCCTAACCTGAGCGTTTCCTACTTTGAGCAAGTATTCAAACATTTGGGTATCATGGGACAAGGTAGCTTCGGCACCGTTATACGTGTAAGAAGCAGAGAAGATACTAAATTATATGCTGTAAAACAACTAAAAGCGCATATTGGCTCCATCGATAGATGTGCTGAAGTGAAAAACAACGAATTGATTGGATCTAATGAGAATTGCGTCCGATATTTCATGTCTTGGGAGGAAAATTACGACACGTTCATTCTGTTGGAGTATTGCGAAATTTCTCTCCAAGATTTTTCCAAAATCAACCGTAATCTTCCAGAAGATTTATTATGGAATGTTTTGTATGACATGTGTCATGCTCTGAGCTTTTTGCACAAAATGACCTATATTCATTTAGATGTCAAACCTGGCAATATAATGATGAGGAAAGGTCATTTCAAATTGGGAGATTTTGGATTGTTGGTTGACGTAAAAATGGTAAGAAGTTGCTTCTGTATAATATTGGGTGACCCATTGATATAAATGTTTCAAAAATTTATCAAACAAAGAACCTGAAAAGAACCATAAATTTATATAAAGGAACTAGAGTTAATTACTACTCAGTCAAATTACACTCTAATTGATAAATTTCTTATAGGAAAAACGTGCGCGTGTTTCCACATTGTCTGATGGAGATGCGAAATATTTAGCCCATGAGGTCCTTAGTGGCATTTATACGACATCATGTGACGTTTTTGGACTTGGAATTTCCATTTTTGAACTATCTACTGACATACAATTGCCAGAGCAAGGTGGTCTATGGCATCAATTAAGACATGAAGTATTGCCAAGTTGGTTTTATGAGCGTAAGTAATTTTCATTTAAATTAGTTGTTTCAGTTTCATAATAAATTTAATGTTGATTTGGAAAATTAAAGTTTATATTTTCTATTAACCAAGTCAGTCAAGTGGCTAGAGTAGAAATTAGTAATAATATTGGAAGTTCTGAGAAATACTAGACAATGTGATATTTTGTATAGTTATCAATAAAGTTCTAGATAGTTTAATAAATCCTTGCATGTTATCGGTACACTTTGTAAAAACTTGAGGGGATTTCTTAGTTTCAGATTAAGCATGAATTTTCAGGATTTTTCAGCAGGAATTGCAACTGATCTGGTGATCGATGTTATTAAAAAATGTACATGTTTTATAAATCACTGAAAATGAGTGTGCTTTTCATCCACATTTTTTTGAAATTTTATAAGTAAGGTAAACATGCAAAGATTCTCTCAACACTTATGTCACATCTGCTTTGTCTAGTATTTTTCAAGTCTAAATGTGTAGAGACTGTACTATTAAGATATGGTCGATTATTTTGAACAGGCAAATTAAAATGAAGGGTTTCAGGTGTAAGTTACCGTTTATCCACAATTATCGAAAAAATGGTTGTTAGTGATTACAAGCTGCGTCCCTCAGCAGAGAAAATCCTTACTTATGGGACTTTGAAGGAGATTTCCAAGCGTGATACAAAAATTCCAAGAATTGATTACGCTGTAAGAGTTGATTCTAAAATTACTGATTTATTGTTCATTAAAAATAATTTTTAGGCCCCATTTGTCCAGCCAGATGACTTTTATGACCCAGTACCATTGGGCCCAATGGATTATGCCGACAGTATTCTGACTACAACCCCACCTTCAAGTAATGAAATAAGACATTCCCTCATGGATTACGGATATGGTTCCTATTATAATAGAAGGTAAATTATTAGCTATCAATTTGTATAAATTAAGAGTTGTCATAAATAATATTTTTAGGGAAAGCGATGTGGAGAACAAAACCCACTTCTCTGGTAGAAAATCCTTGTTCTGCAATTCGGGGCCAGGAATGGAGGAGGAGTTGGCACAGTGCCTCTTTGATTCAGGCATAGGAACTGCAAGTGCCGATAATAGCCAAGCAAGTGCAGATATAACAGACAACTCATTTGCGAAGGGTTCTGTGATGACATCCACTCCAGTAATTCCCAAAGCCAAAGACTCGATGCTAATTCCGAGAACTAGATTAACTTTTGATTAAACATTTTTAATTTTTATAACAGGTTATTTTTTGTTGATGGCATTTTTTCCACAAAGTGGAAATCATGTAAGGTATCGTGTTCACTGTTTTTTATGGGTATTAAGGACTACCCATTTTATACTTAGGTCGGGGCTACCCAATTCCTTAATTCTTAATTCTTAATCTTTAAAAATTACCGATGGTAAATAAATTGAACTTTTTAAGAATTAGGGAAAAATATTAAGAATCAAGGAATTGGGTAACTCCGGCCTTAATGTCAAAACTAAAATCAGAAAACGTCTTTTTCAATATTTAATGTTAAAAGCCTTTTGGATCTTGAAGCCGTTTTACACAGAAAGTTCTCGAGCGAAACTATTCTAAAATTTGTTGCCACAAAAAAGTTCACTGTTTTACCGTGTTTGATACAGCAAATAAAATTCCCCAAAATTTTCGTTGAGATATGTCATGCGCATGCGCAGATATTTTTTTTTATTTTGTCATTAGTTTCAAATTTCAAAACGTAACCCCATACTTTTGTGGATCAAAACAAACTTTCATTTTGTGATAAAATTGATTTCGATTTTCTGTATTTTTCTGCAGTTTCATAAGGTTCGAATTTCAGCGTTTTTCATAAATAAAAAATTTTTCGGCTCTGCCATTTGTCCTACGAAAACGATGCGCGTCGGAACTCGCGCATTTTCCTGGCCACTGCTACAAAAACTAGAGAACAAAAAATCTTGTGAATTGTTTCGTTAAAAAATGTTGCTCTGTAAAACGGCTCTTATTCTTAGGGGTCGAATATTTCCGTAAGCTACCAAAAATTAGATAATTTCCAAAAGAAATTACCTGATAGGAAAGGTATTAAAGCAATTTTCATTTTTCTAATAAAAATAAGGGATTTAGGCAATTGGGCTTGGTGCTTTTTTGTTGAATAAACTGAAAGATTTTGAAGGATCAATTTTAAATTCGAGGGAAAAGTGATTATTTAGTCACTTGATGATAGTTGAGTAACTATATTAGACCAATTGACCATTTCTCTAATTTAAAATTCTGAAAAATTTGGCGGTAACGGCAAGTATCTTACCTTAGAAAATTACTACAAAAATCTGTTAAATTATTTATTCCTTTGAAAAATTGCCGCGAAAAAAGATATTTGAAGTAGCTGATTTTAGTTGGGACATTTCATGAATATTCCATAATTGTTTAAAAAATTATAGAATTTTCTTTCTTGGAGTAAGCCTAATTTTTTTACTGATATAAAATAATTGTTCCAACCTATTATTTTTGATCTCAAACAATTTTTAAAAATCCGTAAATCTCTTATGCTTCCTCTAATTATTGTTCTTCAGTTTTTATATAAATAATTTAATGTGCAATTGTTTCCAAATTATGTACATATTAGCCTGTTTAAAGTTGATATTGTAAATAAGATATAATTGTCAAAAATTAAATTAATAGTCAATTTTTATAGATTAATGACTGAATTCTTATTTTGAGTGGAAATCAAATAATTTCCACTAAAAAATTGAGGCAAATACCTCAGTGAGGTTAATACAGTCAAATTTGGGTATATTAAACCAAAAATATAATAGTATTATTTTTCAATGGAAAGCATGCTATTTTCCACATCAGTTAATTCTTCGTTTATTTATTCTTATAATACCTCGTCATCGGTTATTCTGTGATAGTTACACACATATAAAATCGCTTTGTTCATTGAAGCCGGGTTTTCGTTATGTAGCGTGTTCATTATATCCAAGTTTGATGTAGGTAGCTTCATTTTTATTGTGATATTGATATTATCAAAAAACTAATTGTCAATTCTTCTTTCTTTGAAATAGTTTAATTCAAATTCTATTGCTAGTGCTCAATTAATTGTCTAAAATTCGATAGCTTCCTTTCAGAGATTATTTATAGCAAAGTATATTGTGATATTGTTAAAAATTAATTTATTGTCAGAGATTATATTTGGATTTCAATTCTTTAATTGTTGTGCAATCGTTTCAAAGTTAATTTCCTTTTAATTGTCATCAAAATTAATTAACCTGTATTTTACTTATTGCATGCTGCTAATAAGTTATTACCGACAAAAAAAGAGTTTGTTAGTAGATTAATTTTCTATACATTTTTGTTATTTATGTGTATTTTTTTTGGTATGATTTAATTTTGTTGTAATAATTAACCTGGGATTTATTAGTGTTGCAATATTTACATTTTTATGTTTATTGTCTGTTGATTCACACTCCTGCTCTTTTTCAAACACTTTTCAGAGCAAATTGTGAATTTACAATTATTGCTATTATTATTAACACTATTATCACACTAGTGATCCCTGGAATAATTATTAAGAGAAAAGAGAACTATGTGTATTAATTTTCCATTTATAATTGAAATTGTATTATTTTATTTTTAATTTGTTGCATTTATAGCTAATCATTAATATCCAAATTATTTAATTATTATTATCTATATCTATAATCAATTGGAAATATTTTTTGGTTTTTATTTATGTTTTGTTTTTTTTTTTTGATACTCATAGGTTAAGTTATTAGTACCACTGGTGCCAAATAATGTTGCAGAACTAACAAAGAAAAAAATCTGAATGCATGTATTACAAATTTAATTGGTGAATTATTTATTTTTTCTAGTTGAGTTATAACTTCTAATGGTAAACATTTTTTCTTTGTTAGTTTGTGATAAGAGTTTATTTAATCTGATTCTCATGTACTGACTCAAAATATGTAACTAAAGTTCAGCAATATAAAAAAGAGTGATCGATAGTTCCTTATCATAATTGGTAATTTGTAATGCAATATTGTAACTTAAGGTTGTTTTTTTGCAATATTATAACACCTTAATATTAACCACCATCAATCACTGCCTCATTCATATAGATTAAGAAATTTAACTTATAATTCCATTATTTCATAGATTGTCCATTAACTTATTTATTTATTTTATTTTTTTTCAATTTTGGCTGAATATAATTTAATTTTTTTTAGGTGGTTTTGTGATTTAAGTTTAAGGTAATAATTGTAATCGAATTGAGAGTTTATTTTTTGTTTATTTAATTTGATTTAATTTTTTTGACTTCTGAAGTATTAAAAGTGTTTCTTGAATAAAAATAATTGTTTTATTTCAATTCTCTACCAAAAATTGACCCAAAAATATCACTGATCCTGAACACTATGGATAAGCAACTGGAATGTTCACTTGATAGACCACGTTAAATGTCAATGTCTTTTTGGAAATATTCCCTTAGTTCCATATCATTGCCATCTTGTTTAGTGTCAATTTTGGGATACTATGTGGAATTATTGGTTCTGGATGTTGTATTGAAGGTTGTAGATCACGTGAACATAATTCCGGAGGCACAATCCGCAGAGGCTATAGTACAGCTACAGCACTCCCAAAGGTAACCACAGATATTGCGACCAACATGGGCTCATCATTGTTGTTATGCCTGGTACGTTTGGACTATAGTAAGGCATTCGACCTGCACGAAATGCTGATTGCTAAAATGCACTATTATGGCTTTTTGGGCTAAATGTGTGTCTGGTTTCATCGATATCTTAATGAAAAAACCCAAATTGTGGAGCTGGATGGGGCAAGATCAGAATCAGAAATAATGAGGCATGGAGTTCTCCAGGGGAGCATTCTTGGCCTATTAGTTTTCACATTATTTACCAGCGATCTTCCTAAACAAGTTCACATTGCTCCATTCATCTCTACGCTGATGACACACAGCTTCTATATGGCTTTATACCCAGAGAGGCTTGTCCAAGTTTGCGAAGGGTCAACAGCGATCTGAGTGCTATACATGTTTGGTCAAAAAATCATAGATTGACAATAAATGCTAATAAAAGTAACTATATGATCATTGGCTCACCTTTAAGTAAAAGTCGTTTTGAACATTTTAATTTCAACTCCCTGCATGTTGATCGATCATGTTGCCCTGTGTCAAGTCAGCCAGAAACCTAGGAGTTGTTTTTGACCACCACCTCGAGTTTCAACACCATGTAAATAAAAAATGATCGTTAGTTTATATGAAACTCAAAAGTTTGTATGCCTTCCTAGATATGAAGAACGAGTAGCTCTATTTTTTGGTACACTAGTTTATAAGAGATTTCAAATGTAACTTCCCAACAAGCCTTTGGCAATACATGGTGGCAAGACAGAACTCTCATGACCGGAATTTGAGATTTGTTACCAGATATAATATACCGCAGCATAATACTGTCAAGTTTAGAAACTCATTTGCGTTTCAAGTGGCTGAATTACTCAATTCGGAAATATACCGGGTGTTCATTTGAAAACTTCCCACCCCGGTTTTATCAAAAACCACTGATTAAAAAAAAAAAACGCCGAGACACGTGACAAGGGGGACAACTTTTTAAGTAAAAATTACTTCACCCCCTACCGCCCAGGGGCACCCCCTAAAGAATCTTAAATGGGAAAGGTTATCGAATAATAGCTTGTTTGAAAGGCCTTATCAAGTGCTTTATTATGACGTTTGAATTTTTGAAATCGGTCGATTCGTTTTGAAATTTGAAAAAATATTTTAACATTTCAAAAAAACATTAATAATCAAATAAATTAAAGTCAATAAATACCTAAAAGCAACACACTAAAATATCACTTTTTTAATAAGTGTTCAAAATGTTGTCCGTTATTGGCCATACAATAATATAGGCGATGTTCAAATTCCTGACGCACATTTTCAACAACATCTTGTGGGATATCATGGCAGTTTCTTATGATACGTTGACGAAGTTCATGTAAAGTTTGAGGTTGGGGAGTAAACACTATAGATTTTAAATGCCCCATAAAAAAAAGTATTATGGCGTCAAATCAGGTGACCTAGCAGGCCATTCCATAGGTCCTCTTCGTCCTATCCATTTGTTCCGAAACTCCTCATCTAGCCATTGCCGAACCGGAAGAACATAATGAGGAGGAGCACCGTCTTGCTGGAAATAAACTTCAGCCTCATCAAGCACAGGGTTTCCATCCTCATCGATTTGGTTTTCGATTGCTTCAGTAATAAGGGGATTGATGGTACTTTCTAACATATCCAAATAAATTTCTCCATTTAAATTTCCATTAATAAACAACGGCCCAATCACTTTGTTTCCTAAAATGCCTGCCCACACATTAATTTTTTGGGGATATTGGGTATGCCCCTCTACAAAAGCATGAGGATTTTCATTGCTCCAATATCTGCAGTTATGCTTATTCACACATCCGTTGAGGTAAAACGAGCATTCATCACTGAAGCAAATATTCTTTACCTGAATGGCATTATCATTGATCGCTTCAGTCATTCGTTGGCAAAACTCAACTCGCCTATCAAAATCGTCTCCACTTAACTCTTGGTGTATTTGCATTTTGTAAGGATGGAATTTATGGAGTTTAGTAACTTTGTGTACAGAGCCTAATGAAATACCGGTTGCATCAACAACTTTACGTAAGGAAGTATTCGGATTATGCCAAAATGGCCAAAAACTTCAACCTGAGCGGCTTCATTTAAAACTTTTCTTTGAACACTTACTAAAAAAGTGATATTTTGGTGTGTTGCTGTTAGATATTTATTGTGACTTTAATTTATTTGATTATTAATGTTTTTTTGAAATGTTAAAATATTTTCTCAAATTTCTCGAAAACGAATCGACCGATTTCAAAAATTCAAACGTCATAATAAAGCACTTGATAAGGCCTTTCAAACAAGCTATTATTCAATACCCTTTCCCATTTAAGATTCTTTAGGGGGTGCCCCTGGGCGGTAGGGGGTGAAGTGGGGGGAAGTAATTTTTACTTAAAAAGTTGTCCCCCTTGAAACGTCCTTTGACGTGTCTCGGCGTTTTTTTTTTAAATCAGCGGTTTTTGATAAAACCGGGGTGGGAAGTTTTCAAATGAACACCCGGTATATCATTATAGTTAATAATTCACTAGCTGCTCCTAAACGAAAATAAGTTCTTGTTCAACGCTCAAGAAATAAGGCTAAAAATTAGGGAAATTATTTATTTATTTATTAGATTTATAAAATTTGTACCCACTTCGTAATTTTAGGTTGCACGAGTGGCATGGAAGAACGCTCTGCGAATGCTACCTTTTAAGTTATGTTGTATAATAAAGATTTTTCTCTTCTATTCTATTGCCACAACTTTATCCTGTCGTGACGGGGTACCTACACGGAAAGAAATTTTGGATACTATTAATCCAGTAGGGTAGTATTACAGTCAAATTTTTGATCAATATAGCGCCAATCTAAATTTAGATAAATATCAATAAATTTGTATTTGTATTTTTGTATTTATTTCAAGCAACAAGTTTACAATTATTGTTCTCAAATAGAATAGAAATATCACAATCAACATACTATCTAGTAAATATCTATTTGAGTACAATATAGGTATTTAATGTATGTACATAAAAATTGGTGTTTTATTGCTTTTATTTTGGGAGTGCACAATGGATTTCAGACAATCTGTGTGTGCATCCCTCTATTTTAGTTATATTTATCTAATTTGAGGTTAAGTTATTCAATCTTCATTTTATTTGGTTTACAATAGTCGCAATAGTTTTTTTTTTTAGAAGTTTTTATACAATTGAGATGAGATGTTATTTTCAATGATCCATGGGCCAATTATTTTTTTTACTTTTTTATAGGAGGATGATCCAATCTGAAGGGGCAGGATATTATAAAGTTTTGGACCCGTATATATAATATGATTCGATTGATTCACTTGCTAAGGTAAAATCTGCTAAAATATATCAAACCATGATAGTTAGCAGCAAATGAGTTCCAATAAATAACAACCAAAATTTGATTATTATTAGCAAAAATAAAATTAAATTTGCCTATGATATTCCTGAATATAATTTATTTATTTTAGCTAAGTGTTGAATAGTATCAAGCAATTTTTGGATCAGTTCAAGTTGATTGTAGATAATATTTGCTAAATATATGATTGATTTTAGAAACAGATATGATGAAAGATAGCAAATTTACAAATAATTAGGATAAAATTTATCAAATAATTTGATTACTTCTTGCAATATTTTGATGTTATATATCTAATAATTGAGTGCAACTTATCAAATCTTTTGATTATTTGCATTCAATATTTGATTGCTCGCCAATTCATTTTCGTAATTAGCGGTGCTGGTGGGGAAATAGTAACAATAAAATAAGGTTTCGGTTTAATTATTATTTTATTCTGCATTCATTTACAATATTGAATACTAAATTATTATTATCTCCTACTAACTTAACATGAATAACCTCCTCAAAAGGAATACAATTTATACCTACCTTATACCTAGTTTATAGATAATAAGAAAATAATAACAGCCGTATGCAACATCCTCTTTTAACTTTAATAGGGACTTTGAAAGTCAATTGCTTAAGAATACAAATTTTTAAAAGTGACAAAATAGGATAAAAGCGCTTTTAAAATTAAAAGATGATGTTGCATACGGCTATATAAGTCTTTAGTGTAAAAGCAAATTAATAAGCTTACAGGAACCAAATTAAAAATATAAATGTCCTTGTATAATCCTATGTTATTAGTAGGTTTTTTTACAAAAAACAGATGACATGTTCGTTTCTACTAGAAATTTCAATTTCTCTCTCATATTAAAGAAACAAATATCACTCACAAAACTCAATAATTTATTATTGCCAGTTAGCACTGCGTGGCACTACGAGTACGGGTTTGAGAGTACGAAAAAATAAACAAAGACAACTTAGACAAGTTTTTTCTGTGGACCACACATAAACAGGAGAGACGTTCTTCCTTCCACAAAACACCACACACTAAAATATTTTCAAATGAAAAATAACTCAAATAGCCAAAACCGTTAAAAAAACCTATAGGTATTTGCTTGATTTACTCCTTATATTATAGATTTAGCCAAATAATGGCTCGATTCTAGAAGAGTTTTATTAATTTAGTCAAATATTTAATAATCGTAGCAAAAATTGGATAGAAATAGTTATACAGGGTGAGTTACTAAGCGCGCGGTCGTCCATATTTCCTATACTAATGGAGATCGGAGGAAAAACTAAATACAAAACTTGTAGATAAACATGAGTACTACATTCCTAAATTATTTTTCGGTATACAGGGTGGCCCAATAACTAGTAGCGACACAAAGTTATGTTTTTTTAAACGACTCCCCCTGTATATTATGACATTTTTGGATTTTGCGGGAAATTCTAGA